GAGAGTTGCGTGTGGCGGAGGAGAGACTTAGGCACAAAGTTATATTAAGGTCAATAGATAGGGGCAAAGCGGGGTTGGGGTTTTTCCCCTGTCTGCAAACCAGCATTGCCAAAGGCAATGAAAGACACCAACTCATCCAAGAAGAAGTCCGTTTGGGCATAGAAGAAATGCGTTACTGTAAAATGGTTGGTCTAAGTCAGCAGGGAGCCTGGACAAAATAGGAGAATGTAGAAAAGAATTACTTGGTCAGAATGCTGGCGATCGGACTTTAGTGAGATTCGATTTCTCATAAAATCAGTAAATGATGTCCTACCGAACCCAACGAACCTGCATATATGTGGGAAGAGCGAGACCCCAATTGTCAACTATGTGCAAGGATAGGATCTTTACAACACATCCTCAGTAGTTGCCCAAAAGCTTTGGGTGATGGTTGGTACCGTTGGCGCCACGACCAAGCACTCAAAGCAATTGTGAACGAGGTGACTAAAGCGATAAGTGCTAGTAAGCATCAACCAGGGAAGAAATTGAATCGAATTAACTTTGTAAAAGCTGGAGAGAAGATACAGAAACAGAGAACAGAGAAAACGAACCTGTCATATTCCCCAGGTGATTGGCAGTTGATAGTGGACCTAGAAACTCAGTTGAAGTTCCCCAGACATATAGCCGTAACATCCCTCAGACCGGATCTGATATTGCACTCCAACAACACGAAGCAGTGCATTATTTGGGAACTGTCTGTGTCATGGGAGGAATTTATTACACTAGCAAATGAGAGAAAGATGTCCAAATACCAAGAACTGGTCGAACAATGTCGGCAAAAGTCTTGGAAGATATACTATGACCCCGTGGAAGTTGGTTGCAGGGGCTTTGTGGGACAGTCGTTGTGCAGAGCCCTAGCAAAAATAGGCATAGTAGGGGCAGTTAGGATGAGAGTGCTGAAGGACATTACCAACGTGGTTCTCATTGCGTCAAAATGGATTTGGCTTAAGAGATCAGAGCCATGGAAGAAGCAGTGAGGACATTAAGGAAAATCTCAGAATCATAATTAGGAGACGTTATACGTTATAAGGGAATATTAAGACATTATATTAAGCTAGGGTAGTCGAACTGTTATGGATAGGTGTTGAGAATCACTGTTGTGTTTTTTTTTTAACTTGGCTGTTCGGTTACTGATTGCCATCATGAATATATTATATATATATATATATATATATATATATATATATATATACACACACACATATGTATGTGCGTGTGTGTGTATATATATACACACACACACGTGTATATTTTTCTTTTGGTGCTTACTCGCAGTGTTATTTGATTATGTAAACCTAATTGTAGTTTTATTAGGAATGGAATGGGGGAGAAAGATATAGTTTCGTAGTTATAATAGTCTGGAAATTTAGGGGAGTTGATGCTAGTACTGGTTGAGTAGATTTATTTTGAGAAATATGTATTAGATTGTAAATATGTGAATAGGTTACTTAATGGAGTAGATAGCATAATTATTTAGTTATTTATTGTTTGCAGGCTATCGAATTAGTTTAGACGGTAAATGACAATTTTTTTTTTTCGTTGACCTTAGGGTTATAATAGCGAATTTCTTTTGAGAAAGTGCTAGTATAGATTATTTTTAAGTTGAGTGTGAGCGTAGGTGTATTTAAAAATTGAGGATTGATGTGGGATTGGTATTTAAAAGATAAAACATGGACTTAAACAATGCAATAAAGATACCAGCTCACCTGGGTATGGATTCCGGAAATTGAAAACCAGATATAGTAATAAGACACCATTATATAGAAGAGAAATGTGAAAAGCCCTGTTTTCCATTGGTTGACGCTAACATATGTCAATAAGAACGGTTGAAGTCTGGCCTTGCTAGTTTTTTACGATTACTGTTTTTTGCAATGTCGCGGAGTGTAGCACGATACTTTCAAGGAGGCGGCCTGACTCGTCTAGAATCAGGTCAGGGTTGCTGTCGGAGCTGATATGATGCGAAACCCGAAATTGGCGATGAGAACAGTGCATCACTGAAGACCACCCTTGATGCATCTTAAATGTATGATTTAACTAATATATATATATATATATATATATATATATATATATATATATATATAAATATATATATTATATATATATATATATTTCATTGAATACAACAGACAAGATGCTTTTTAGTTTTTTTTATACAATTTCTCATGCGATCTAATATTTACCCTATTTAATTTTGTTCTAAGAGGTGAATTATTATTTTTAACTATAAAGTTAGAGGTTTTAATTTTTTTGTAATAAATAATTCGTCTAATTTTTTTTGCTATTGTCAACTGGTGTTATGCATTTTTCTTTTTTTATGTTAAATGTCCATTAAGGAATTATATTCCTGATCAATCAAAATAATTATATAGGCCACACTACAACATGTTTGACATGCAGACTCACTCTACACCTTTCTGGCCATAGCTCAATTAGATCTCATTTAAATATTCATGGAAACCTACCGGACACTATAACATAATTGTCGACAACACAAATATAATAGCAACATCTACATACAAAAACGGCTAAAAATAATGGAAGTCATATTAATAAAAAAAAAAAAAAAAATACTAATATTAACTATGAACATGGACACAATATCTTGACCATATTTTGAAAAATGAAAACATATGAATACATACATGCAACAAACTATTTCTTATTTAACAGTTAAAATATTTAAACCTTGAAAATGGCTAAATGTATAGCTGAAAGAGCTCGGATAAAAAGAATGTTCAGACAGTTTTTATATAATTCATCATCCAAAATGAAAAAAATATTAGATCGCACGAGAAATTGTATAAAAAACTAAATAAAAGCACCTTGTCTGTTGTATTCAATGAAAATGTGCATGAAAGAAGGATTACTGCCTAAATCCTCAAATTTTAAATTATATATATATATATATATATATATATATATATATATATATATATATATATATATATATATATAGCTAGTTTTAAGTTATTCTATATTTATAGGTTAAAGTGCTCAATATCAGGGATAAAGCATATGTAAATATAAAAGTGGACATTGTTACCCTTGGGTGTTGACCTCAATGTGTTTCATGCTAAAAATAATCATCAGGCCTAACAATTGTGTTTAGCATGAAACAGACTGCCACCTCTGGGTGTTGAATTTTATGTATAAAGTAAAGAAGAAATAGGAAAAAATTTAGCAATCAAACAGGTTTCTCATTTATAAAAGCTTCAAACATTGAAATGGAGAAATGGAAGATAGAATTTCTTTTATTTTTTCTTCATATCACATTCCCTGATGAAGCTTTAATAAAGGTCAGACCTGTTAGATTGGTAAATGTTGCTTCATTTTATATATATATATACATTATATATGTGTGTGTGTGTGTGTTGTTGAAACCTCCAGAAGAGTGGACTGAATAACAAAAATGTTAATCTGTGAAATTCTGAAGTTGACGTGCTGAATAGAATGTCGGGCACCTAACAGACAAAAGTTCATATGCACACACACACATATATATATATATATATATATATATATATATACACACACAGAGGGTGCAATGGGTAAATTATCAACATTTTATATTTTTAATTTAATGCATACGTTTATTTTTGCTGACTGCACAGTATATTAGGATCAGTTGAGCATTATCTGTAAGAAAAAGAGCACCATGATGCAGTTCACTCCAGCAATTTGGAAACAGCATGCTGTACTACTTGGCATTCATGCCGGAAGCTCCAATATTCAGTGTTTGTGTGTCAATCTGAGAACAGTGTAGAAGATTCAGAAAGAGTTATCACTAGTGATGCCCAAGTTATGCCTCCATTCATCTTCTCCACAGTGCCTCAGACTGAACATGGAGGCCTACATCAAAGCCTTGATGAGGTAGTCTTGCTCTGGGTAAAGTGGGTGGCTGCTGGAAGGACCCTGTATCATATCACACAAGCAAGAGAACCCAGTCATGGCTGTCAGACAATTTCTGTAACCACATCACTCCTTATGTCTGGCCACCTAACTCCCCAGTCTTCAACCCCCTTCATTATTATGTGCGTCACAGTTGAGTGGGAGAACAAAAATCTCCTTGTAACATCAAAGATGAACAGAAGGCAAGTATTATGGCAGTATTCACCAACTTAAACAAGGAGACTGTACAGAACACATGCAGGAGATTCTGAAGTCATCTGGAGGTCATTGTTGAAGCCAATGGTGATTGATAAAATAAATTTACTTTTTACTATTTCAAGATATTTTTGTGTAATTTTTGTAAATATATCTGTTAAAATGAGATGGCAGTGTTATTTTCATTTTTTGTGTAATTTAGATGACAATTTATCCATCACACCCTGTATATCACCAAATACACAAATATATATTATATATATATATATATATATATATGTGTGTGTGGGGGCTTTCAGAAAAATTGATAGAATTTCATCATTTAATAATTTGATCAATTCTTGTTCAAATGATTACAAATTTTAACAGCATGTGTAGAAACAACTCAACGTTATATGTTTAATTTTTTTTCTATCTTTAGGTAGAGGTGTGTGTTATAGGATGCTGGAACAAAGTTAAATAAGACTGCAGCATGCATTTATGAGAGAATTTCCTTAAAATGCACCAACACAGATTTGGACATTGCACAGAAAGCTTAAAGAGGAATACTGTCTATGCAGGGCAAAAGATCTTTCAGTGTATAGTGCATATACCAGTAATACAGATAATTTCATTTTAACTTGTCTCTTTATTTCTGCTTCACCAGCAATAATTTTATTTTAACTCTTGCTGTCATAACTGGTATAGAACAATTTTATTAGTGCTATTCAGATACAGCATTAGGTTATTATATCACTGCATTGGAAACAAAGCTCCCAAATAACTTTTATTATATATATATATATATATATCTCAAAATTTATATATAAAATTTATATTTTTAATAAAATCCAATATAAATGGTAGATATCCCTATAGAGATGTTTAAACACTGGTTCCCATATTACCACCAAAGTTAAGCAATGTCGAGCCTAGTTAGTACCTAGATGGGTGACTGCTTTAGAATACCAGGTGCTGCAAGCTTGGATGTGTGGGTGGTGCAATTGTTAATCAGAGAGCCAAGTTCCATTTGGATTTGTTATATCTACTTGTATGCAAATACCTTTGGGAAAGGTTTGAATCTGTCACCTCTCTCCCCAGCTCTGGGTTAATTAGTAATCATCATCCTTTGACCTCCCTGTGGTTGGTCGGAACTCCATTAAAAATACCTTTACACACTGCTCGGTCTTGTGTTGCCATCCCCACTGTCCAACCAGAGTCCTGAGCCATGGTGTCTGGGAAAGTCGACCTGTGAGAAGACACCTCCAGAAGGATGACGTAGAAGTAAGGATGAGATAAGCTCCCTATCCACTTGGTGGCAGTGGCTAGTAAACTGCAAATTGCTTTTGTTTGAGCTTAAGAGAAATTGGTCTTAGGTCTCTGTAAATTGTGTTGGGATCTCCAACTGATAATCAGGATTTTTCTAAGTAGAATTGTGTATGTTCCATCTAGTCGTCTTTAAAGACAAATGAATAATGTCCAAGTTTCTGATCCATACAGTAGGACTGGTTCAATCAGTGTTCAAAATGTTTAGAAATACTTGTATCACTAAATCATTTAAAAAAAAAAAAAAAAAAAATTCTTACAATTTTACTCCTCCCAGCTATGGTTTAAATAGTAATACTTGTATCACTAAACCATTATTATATTAAAAAAAAAAAAAAAAAATTCTTGCAATATAAAAGTATTTTCTGGTTGAAATAACCTACAAAGAGTTGATAAGCTGGTAGAAAATTAATCTATCAACCTATTGAGATTTAGGCAATTTTGAAACTTTCTTTTAAACAGGGACTTAAAAAACAAAAAAAAACACTGTATTTGAAGTTGTATTACCTTGAGATGAAAGATTTTAGCCATTTCCTCAAATATCTGTTGGGCTTTTGAACCATCACTAGATTCCATAAAGATAATTCCAGTAGCATATTGTCCTTTTTCTGGTAGGGTAACATTCTGATTGGTCCTAGAATTAAAAAGAAATGTAAAGATATAAGAGAACAAATAATATTAAGTAGTGAAACCAGGTTGCTAAAATATTACCTGATGTCAGGCAAGTCTATTGTTATGGACAGAGAAGCAAAGAAACAGAAAAAACCCACACTGTCCGTTATACAGATAGGCTTGCAAATCACTAAATGAATTTAAATATGGGAAAATGAATTTTTTTTCTATAGGATTGATTAAATTAAATAAAAGAGAAAAATATTTACCTGAGATCATTTTCATAAAGAGTGTGTGGAATGGCTGCCAGCACACCGGCACCATCACCTGTGTCGTTATCACATGCACATCCTCCTCTGTGATCCATTCTCTGAAGCATGGTTCGTGAATCTTGTAGCACCTGAAGAAAAAAAAAAAAAAAATAAAATTAAAAATATTGAAGAGTACCATAGGACGGCAAAGAGTCTTCACAGATCAAATGTCATGAAAAAAAGGGATAAGCGTCAAATTAATTTTTCTTTTTTTGCTCATGTCTTTCTTCTTTGGCTCACGTTTACCACCAATCACAAGTTGAGTGATTATATTGAATCATTTACTAGGTCTACTGTTAGAGAAAATTGGTTCACTGTGTTGTACCAGAAAATGTTTCTAGTTGGAATCCATCTTGCATATTTATAAATCTACCATTCATCCATGCATTGAATATTGCTGCCATATCTAGTCTGGCATTCCTGCTGTATATCTCAAGATTCTTGGCAAAATTCAAACAGGAGGTTTGTAATATAAAAGATCCTGAGCTGACAGCTCAACATCAGTCAATTTCAGACTGAGATGATGTGGCTTCTTTGTCTTTTTTTTTTTTTTAACAAACATTTTCATGGCAACTGTTCTGATGTGATCCCCACCCACAGTGCCTCAAGTACATGACTAAGTGTGCTACTAGATTGGTAATGAGGTTTCACTGTCTTACTATTGAACTAGCTAGATGTAGTGACCACTTTTAATAACTTCTTTTCTTGCACTTCTCACCTGTGGAACTCCCTTCCAGCTTTTTGCTTCCCTACCACCTATAATCTTCAAAAATTTAAATACAACCTCAATTGCCATCTTCTGTCTTCCTGAAATCTCTTCCTTTGTCCTCCTCACTTATACCCACTAAAATCTTCTCTCTTCCACTCCCTGTAACCTCCTGCATCTTAGTGGCATTATTGCCTTGCTAGGGGAGAAATGATTAACAAAAAAAAAAAAAAAAAACCATATTTCTTAAAGATATAGGTGATCATGGCTTTCGACTGATTCCTTTTAGTATCTGAATTGCCATGCATCCTTGGGAAGGAGAGTTGAGTGATTTCCTGTTGCTTTCTCTGGGATTTTCCTTCTTTTAGACTAGTTGGCAACCAGGGCTACAAAACCCAATCTACTCTGCTTTTTACCCCACAATTGGAAAAGTTATGGATTTGGCTTTTCCTAAAGTCACTAGTGTGAAAAGAGGAAGACAACTGACTAAGCTGGAATTTGAACTCAGCTCGCTGAGATCACTTTCCATGTTACTCACACATATGCCATAAATGGAATAGTGTAATATAAATGGATAAATATCATAAAAAAATGAATAAATTTCATAGATGAATAAATACCATAAAAACGGACAAATATCATAAATGAAAAAAAAGAGCCATAAAATTATAATCCTGTTATAATTGTGCTTGTTCCTTTATTAGTTCACATGACCATACCTACATACCATTATTTACATTATTTGAACTGTTATCCTCATCTTTATTACCATATTCACAATGTCCTCAAGGACATATGGGCCCAGCGAATAAAGATGTTTGTTAGATCCTGTGACTAGACCCAAAGAGTTGTGAGTTCAATACCAGGCTACAGCAGTGGTGAGCCCAAAAACTTGGAGAGTCGAGTTAAAGGGAAATAATTGAGACATCCGGAAGAGGCATGGCATGTGAAACTAGAATAATCTACCCCGGTGGATGAAATAAAGGATTTGGTTCGAAATTCCAGTCACCTGAACAAGGCCGGTGTACAACAGCCGAAATGTTGTGGATACGGAACTGAAGATGAGGATAACAGTCCGAACAATTTAAATAATCATAATACCTCATCTCAGAGATATATACACATGCCTCATAAATAATATACTATTCCATTTTGATTGCATGGAAAGATTTGAAAAAAAAACAAAAAAAAAAAAAAACACCACCATTTGGTTTCAGTGAGAAAATGAAAGACAGAAAGGAAGATAAAAATGGAGAGAGAGAATCAGATTTAGCTGATAAGAACAGATACTACACTTTGATCTTAGCCAAAAGGTTGAGAAGCAATTATATCTACTTGCTACAATGTTGGCAGGATGTGACATGAGGTCAGTTTAATATGGGATGTCTGAGTATGTGCACCCGGGTCAGGCCTCAAAATAGTTCAGTCCCATGTTAGTAGTGCTGGCATCAGTATTACTCCTGATCCCACCCCTTTCATGCAATAAGGGTAGTGCTACCCAAGCAAACATTTTCCAAGATCAGGCATCTCTAAATAATAATCCGCAGATAGAGACATAACTGAGTTGTGCTCAGTCCAAAGCAGAAACACAACCGATAGGTGAATGTAGTTTATCTACCCAAGGGCAGTTACTATACTTTGATACTAGTGAAAAAGCTGAGAAGCAAAAGTTACTATGATAAAGGTGATTGTGATGAAGGCACTATTTTTAAAATGCACATTATTGAATGACAGAAACCAAGTAAGTCAATCACCAAAAATTCAGTTACCATAAATAAAATAACATCATCTGCTGAATTATTTTTAGATTATTATTAAGGAAAATGTTCATAAGATGGGGATTTGACTAGTTGTAATAAAAATGACGAAATATAAAAAGTGTTATATGTCATAAAAAGGGTTATATACATACAGGGTTTGATTGATAAATTGCCATCGAAGTTAGGTAACAGTGAAAATAATGCTGACATCACATTTTAACAGATATATTTACCAAAATTTCACAAAAATATCTTGAAATACTAAAGTGTAAATTTATTCAATAAGATTGCCATTGGTTTCAACTACAGCTTCCAGGTGACTTTGGAATCTCCTGCAATGCTTCTGGTCAGTTTCCTTGTTTAAGTTGGTGAATGCTGCCATAATCCTTGCTTTTAGTTCAGCTTTGATGTTACAAGGAGTTTTTTTTTTTTTTGTTCTTTTGCTCAACTGCACCCCACTCTTAACAATCAAGAGGGATCTAGTTTGGGGAGTTAGGTGGCTAGATGTAAGGCGGTGATGTGATCACAGAAATTGTCTGATAGTCATGACTGGTTTCTGCTTGTATGGCATGGTGCAGATTCCTGTTGCTAGTTACTCTTGATCCAGGGCAGCATCACCTCTTCAAGGCACTTGATGCAGGCCTCCATGCTGAATTTGAGGCCCTGTGAGAAGATCAATGAACATCATGAATTTGACTGGATATTTGGTTATCATCACTTTCAGTACATCTTTTGGAGACACAGCATCCTCTGCACCATCCTCAGATTGAGACCATAATGCTCTAAAATGTTTGTATTGGATCTTCCATTGCAAATGTCAAGCAGTACAGCAAGTCCTTTCCAAATTTCTGGTGGAGTGAATTGCATCATGGTGCTCTTTTTCTCACAGACAGCAAATAGCACAAACACACATGTGAAATTAAAAATATAAGATGGCGACAATTTACCATTGGCACCTTGTATAATTTAAAGCCCTGAAAAGTGTTATATCTTTAAAAATTTCAAAATAAACTTTATAAATTAGAAACAGGTTGTTGGAATTTATTGCTTCCAGATTTGATGGGCTGATAAAGATAAAAGATGGTCGATCACGTTTAGGTGGAGACGAATGAAGGATGACAGGTTTTTCAGGTTGATTTCCAAATCAAAGAGCACTACAAAGTTCCTACTCAAGGTTTTTCTCTATATAACTGACTATAGCCAGGTCATCTATGAACAGAAGATGACTAGCTTCAATGTTGTCTTGGTTTAGGTTCATAGTCACTTCAGGTTGAACAGGTTGTCACTTGTACAGAGGTACAGGTCTTCTATGTCTTTCATCTTCTCTGTAATCTGTTTCAACATCATGCTAAAAGATACTGAAAACAGTGTTGGTGACTATGATAGAAAATGGTAACTAGGATATAAATTTGAAAGTGTGTAGGAATAAGCAAAGATATTTGGGTGGGGTTGTAGAATGCAAGTAGAAATAATCATTTTTCAAAAATCTTCATATTCCTATAGACTGAACCCTCCAGATTGCAAATATAAAAAATATAATTAAAAAAAAAAAAAAAAAAAAAAAAAAAAAAAAAAAAAAAATTAAGGAAATACAGTCTTATGTAAATTCATTGCAAATTGATGCCTCTATAGAAGCTGAAACAAAATATACCGATACAATGTGATTTCTTAAAATGTAGAAAATAAAATAAAATTTTGAAATTTGTAACCTGGAATTGATTTTTTTCATATGATTTTTCCATTAATGAAACTCTGGATCATAAATTTATTTTTTTTTAACTTTTCAAATTACTATAGAATAAGCATTTCTGATCACAAATATAAAGAAAAAATTTTATAAATATAAGGGGGTTTGGTCTGCTATGAAAATTTATTGTAAATTGATGCCCCCTATGGAAGCCAAAACAAAATATGCCCATACTACATAATTTCTTAAAATGTAGAAAAAAAAAAATTCAAAATTTGTAACATGGAATTGATTTTTCATATACAGGACGTGGCAGAAATAACTTCCATATTTTAAAGGTTGACAAAAAGACCAAGGTAGCTGCTATTAAAAAAATTATTTTACTGTTGTTTTAAAAGGCTACAGTTATTTTTATTCATTTGGTTTTAAAAATGGCATTCTCCAAATGGTGGCTTCTATTTGCCATAATCTGTTGTAGATGATTTATAAAGTTTTCCATTACTTGGAAGTTCAAGTGCTTTGAGATCTTCCATGTGGCTTTCTTTTAAGTGTTGAGCCTGTAGCCTTGAATTTTTTTAACCAATAACAGTATTGATTTTCTATCCAGAACAGTATCATTCTGAAATAACATGAAATGAACATGAAATGAACATGAAAATCTGTGTTGCAATTACAGATTCACCAGTCAAAGAAAAAAATGTTTCAACAGCAAACACACGGTGTGCACTGGTTCAAGCCATGATCCTAACAGATGGTATCTAATGAAAAACAAGAAAAAAATATGGTAAGACATTAGCTAGATAAAGACACCATTGCTACTTGCCTAAGGTCACTAGCATCACAAAGATGACAGTTTAAAATATGGGAGGTATTTCTGCCAGACACTATATTCCTATTGATTAAGTACACCAAATTATGAATTTAAAAAAAAAAAGT